CGGCGTGCCTTGCGCGAGCGGAGGCGGGGCAGGGGCGGCGGAGAGTTGCTGCGGCGGTGGGAGGGCCCGGGCGGAGGCCGTCGGTCTTCATCCCTCCGCGGGGTCCCGGGCCCTGTGGTGGGGACCTAATAGTTTTTGCAGAGAGAGTGTGGGTGGTACATATCCTAGAACCACCAAGAACCTAAATCGTCTTACAGTTCATTTCACAGGAATGACCGTTTGGTTGGGTATGAAATACTTGGATTAAAGTCTTTCATCTGCAATTCTAAAGACACGGCTGCCTGTTCTCAGGTGATCCATGATATAGGGGGTCTACGTCTGAGACTAGCCCAGTTTTTTATCTTTTAAGTAATGGCAGCACTTCTATTTCCACAGCTTAGAGGTTCTCAGAGTCTAACACTTCAATGAGGATCATTTCAAGATTAAATTTGCCATTAAATTTTCCTGGCACTTGGTCGACCCTGTGTCTTAGTCTCTGATATTCTTGATATTGCTTCTGCTGGATTGCTTCAGATTCCTTTTAAGGAGCATAAGTTATCTGCATTCTGTATCTGATTTTATTTGCTTTTTTTTTTTTTGTCATTCTTATCTATTAGTTACTCTTTCATCTTTTTTTCCTCTCAATCTTTTCTTTGAACTGAGATTGGCTATCACCCTCTCCTATATGATCTAGTAATCAAAGGCTAGAAACTTAAAAGAAACCAAATAATTAAAAGGAACAAAAATTTGAGGAAGAAACAGAGATTTAGCAGAAAGAAGCAAAGGTGAAAAATTTTGCATCATCTTTTCAGAGGTCTGTGTACTGAAACTGTTAAAAGGAAAAGGAACAGAATAGTGCAATTAAATATGAAGAGAGCAAAGAAGAGCTTTTAGCAACTTAAGTTATAACAACAACAACAACATACGAGGACTTTAGGGCTAAGGAAATGTTCCTCACACACAAATCAATCCTAACCAAACAAGATCCAGCTAACCACCACTACCACCAAAAAAACAAAGAGATAGAATTTCAGTGGGAAAGGAATAGTATAAGATAGTACAAAAGTTCTAATACCTCATTAATAGAAATTTTAGAAAAACAAAGAGAAGAAAACATAAAGGGATAATTTATGACATTCCAGGGGACTCATTGGAAAAGGCTCCCGAGGGTGACATGGATGGTGGGAGGGGAGTGTGGGTGAGTTGGGGCACCAGACAAGGTCAGTCCTCCTCCCCACCAGGTGCCGGGTGGGCTTGCTACACAATCCCGAGGAAAAGCACTTCCTGGACGCACATGGGAGAAGAGGCGTTCCTGTGTGCACTGAGTTACCCCTGGTTTCCCGACCCCGAGTCCCCGTGTCCCCGGGCCTTCCCGTCACAGGGGCTGTGCAGCTGGGTCCAGTGGAGCTGACATGGCGCCAGCGTCCGAATTTCCTCTCCGATCTGGAGCTGGGGCCAGGCCAGCGTCAGGCCAGCTGCAGCCCATGAGCCCACTGCGTGTGGGGTCTGCATGGCCGAGGGCCCCACAGGAGAAGGCAGGAAGCAGGAGCGAGAGCCCCCACAGGCCAGGAGTCCCGGGCAGCAGGCCAAGAGGAACCGAGGGAGCCCGAGAGAGGGGCCTTCCTCGGGCAGGGAATTCAGTGCCAGGTCTTCATGCCCTGACAGTGGCCACGCCCATCCTGGCCAGTGACCGGTTCCCAGGTGTGACTGGCAGGCAAATGCCTTCCCTCTGTCACCCCAACTCTCCTGGGCGTGTCTGCTCCCTCTGCCAGGCCTCTCCCCCGTGTTTTGCAGAGAACATGCCTTTATGTCTGCCCCTGTTGCTCCTTTCCTGTTATTGATAACCAGTTAGTTACAGCCGCATCCTTTTGCATGTATCTGTCCAGTTTCCCCAACACCATTTACTGAAGGGCCTTTCTTTTTTTTTTTTTTTTTTTTTTTTTTTTTTTTTTTTAGATTTTCTTTTTTTTTTTTTTTTTTTTTTTTTATTTTTTTAAATCAATCTTTATTGTTCATATTATTACAAAGGTTCCTCATTTCTTCCCCCCTCCACCAGGTTCCCACCCTACCCTCCGCCCCCTCCCCATCCCCCATTGTCCTCATCCATAGGTGCACAGTTTATGTTCAGTCTCTTCTTCCCTCCCTTTCCCTGATAGTAAATCCCTTTTCAGATAGTACATCAGTTACTTAGCATTTTCTCATATCAATAATACCTCCACATGCCCAATGATACACTTCACACAAAAGACATTTCCCACTAGGTCAATCAGCCTCATCCAGGCCCCACCCAAGGCACTCACAGATCAACACCCCAGTCCTAAACTAACTCAACACATCCAGATCTAAGCCTTCATCACTTGATTCAGCAGACCCTCAAGTTCCCACGAAAGTTTCCAGCCATGTCTGAGAAGCAGCCGTGGGGCAGGGGCAGGCAAGGAGCGAGCTGTTCTGGGCCTGGCTGCTCAGGGCCTGGCCACTGTTGCTCTGGTTCATTCCACAACCAGCTGCTCCGGGTCTGGTCACTGCCGCTCCCGACCTAGTTGCTCTGGACTTGGCTGCTACTGCTCCGGGCCTGGCTGCTCCCAGCCTGGCAGCCGCTGCTCCGGGCCTGGCCGCACCCGACCCGCCTGCTCCCCCGGGCCTGGCCGCTCCCAGCCTGGCAGCCGCTGCTCCGGGCCTGGCCGCACCCGACCCGCCTGCTCCCCCGGGCCTGGCCGCTCCCAGCCTGGCAGCCGCTGCTCTGGGCCTGGCCGCACCAGCCCCGCCTGCTCCCCCGGGCCTGGCCGCTCCCAGCCTGGCAGCCGCTGCTCCGGGCCTGGCCGCACCAGCCCCGCCTGTTCCCCCGGGCCTGGCCGCTCCCAGCCTGGCAGCCGCTGCTCCGGGCCTGGCCGCACCCGACCCGCCTGCTCCCCCGGGCCTGGCCGCTCCCAGCCTGGCAGCCGCTGCTCCGGGCCTGGCCGCACCAGCCCCGCCTGCTCCCCCGGGCCTGGCCGCTCCCAGCCTGGCAGCCGCTGCTCCGGGCCTGGCCGCACCCGACCCGCCTGCTCCCCCGGGCCTGGCCGCTCCCAGCCTGGCAGCCTCTGCTCCGGGCCTGGCCGCACCATCCCCGCCTGCTCCCCCGGGCCTGGCCGCTCCCAGCCTGGCAGCCGCTGCTCCGGGCCTGGCCGCACCAGCCCCGCCTGCTCCCCCGGGCCTGGCCGCTCCCAGCCTGGCAGCCGCTGCTCCGGGCCTGGCCGCACCAGCCCCGCCTGCTCCCCCGGGCCTGGCCGCTCCCAGCCTGGCAGCCGCTGCTCCGGGCCTGGCCGCACCCGACCCGTCTGCTCCCCCGGGCCTGGCCGCTCCCAGCCTGGCAGCCGCTGCTCCGGGCCTGGCCGCACCAGCCCCGCCTGTTCCCCCGGGCCTGGCCGCTCCCAGCCTGGCAGCCGCTGCTCCGGGCCTGGCCGCACCCGACCCGCCTGCTCGCCCGGGACTGGCCGCTCCCAGCCTGGCAGCCGCTGCTCCGGGCCTGGCCGCACCAGCCCCGCCTGCTCCCCCGGGCCTGGCCGCTCCCAGCCTGGCAGCCGCTGCTCCGGGCCTGGCCGCACCCGACCCGCCTGCTCCCCCGGGCCTGGCCGCTCCCAGCCTGGCAGCCGCTGCTCTGGGCCTGGCCGCACCAGCCCCGCCTGCTCCCCCGGGCCTGGCCGCTCCCAGCCTGGCAGCCGCTGCTCCGGGCCTGGCCACACCCGACCCGCCTGCTCCCCCGGGCCTGGCCGCTCCCAGCCTGGCAGCCGCTGCTCTGGGCCTGGCCGCACCCGACCCGACTGCTCCCCCGGGCCTGGCCGCTCCCAGCCTGGCAGCTGCTGCTCCGGGCCTGGCCGCACCTGACCCGGCTGCTCTGGGCCCGGCTGCCCCGGGCCCGGCCGCTCCGAGCCTGGCCACTCCGGACCTGGATGCTCTGGGCTTGGCTACTGCTGTTCTGGGTCTGGCTGCTCCCACCCCGGCTGCTCTGGGCCCGGCTTCTTCGGGCCCGGCCACTCCGGGTCTGGGTGTTCCTGGACTGGCCACCCTGGGCTTGGCCGCCTCTGACTCATGCCTGGCTGCCACTGCCCCAGGTCTGGCTACTCCAGTGCTGGCTGTTGATGCTCTGGTTCTGGCTGCTGTTGTTCTGGGGCCTGGCCGTTGCTGCTCCGGGTCTGGCTGCCACTGCCTTGTGCCTGGCCACTCTAGACCTGGCCGTCGCTGTTCCAACATTCTGTCCTTTTTTTTTTCTTTTTAAAACGCATTTATGTTGCAATGTTGGCTGGTGAGTTGAGTTCTGACTTAGTCTTTGATTTTTCAAGATCTTCTTTGTATTCTTTCTTAAGTAATTTTACTATTTTTTGCTCTCACTTGATTTCTTCACATTGAGAACTTCTTTGGTTTCTTCCTCCTTGTCCTGGGAGCTCAGCAGGTTGGCCTGTGGCACCCCTTTGTTCTCCGCGGGCTCCTGCGCTGCTTCAGCCTGTTGCCGGGACGGCGCCGCCCAGGAAGCAGCCCCCGGCCTTGGCTCCATTGCCCGAGCTCAGTGGTCAAAGGCTCAGGGGCACCCACGCCCCTAGGGGCCCCGTGGCCCGCCTCCTTGCTGGTGCCGGGTTGGCTGGAGTCCGGCAGGGGCTTCCGCTCCCCTCCGCGTTCCCCCAGCCTAGAGCTTTTTTTTTCTCCTTCCCGTTAGGGAAGTCCAGCATCAGAGTCAACAGACTGTCCTCTGCGCGCAGTTTGCGCGAGTCCCACAGACTGTCCTCTGCGCGCAGTTTGTGCGAGTCCCACAGACTGTCCTCTGCGCGCAGTTTGCGCGAATCCCGGGGGCCTGGCCTTTCGCCGCTCTCCCCGGACTCCACCTCACAGCCCGGTCTCCCTCTGCCTGAGCCTGGGTCCCCAGGGATTGGCCCAGAACTGGGGTTCGGAGCAG